ATATATAAACGATGATCTCTACAGTAAAGTGAAAACAAAAAAGATTTTGTTCGAGATGATTTTTTTCCATCATAAGTATTTTGATCGTAATGATACCATTATAGAACTAGATCCAATTACAGAACGGAAATAATTTTTTTAAACAGTCTGAGCATTAAAAACCCACTAGGGATGTGGACTTTCGGCAGGTGGAATATTAATAGCTTTGAAATGCAAAGTGCGTGGACAGACCCATGGAGAAAAGTAGTTCTTATAACACATTTTCAGAGCATCGATTCTGTGTGTCAAGCCAGGCATGTCACATAGCCCGCAACTTAAACTCCTGAACGCCACCCGCGTCGAACTTTTATTTTGGTAAGTGTTTTACGGCACTCGCAACTGCACAAGATCATACGAGCGCGCGGGACACAATAAACATTTACAGTTGGTAGGAAATTTTGAATTTTGCCCAGGTGGCGGCCGAAGCCTACGTCCAACCAAACTATAAACGTTTCAGTAATTGGCAGTTAAAGATAAACGAACGATGGAGCCCAGGTGAGGCTATTAATTATACTGTATACAGCAAGACCATCAGGGTGATCAGCATGTCAAGCAGCGGGCACCAGCTTTTAGGATGCGAGGCATTGGCTCTTCGGTTTGCATACACACAAAAAAGGCGGAAAAAGCGTGAGTTCGATTCTCTACTTGGGAAGAAAATATAGGACTATTATAGTATTATTTTATGTATTTTATCGAGTACAGTACAAACTGTTGAAGACGGCAAGCCATTTCGGAAGAACTAGGTGGCCGTACTACACAGATGGTCGTCTTACACAGTCTCATTATAATGCAAGAAATGTGCAAGGAGAGAAATGAGAAATAGTCGTTTATACAGGCAATAGTCTTAGACTTGTGGTCGTTAGAGTAGGTTGGATTGTTCTTCTAGCTTTCTGCAGGAATATTATAGCTTCCTCTATAACGAGTTTTTGTCGACCGAGCTCAGACTCGAGCCGGGGGGCTCTCGTGGTCTGGAGTGTACGGTGTTAGCATCTCATTCAATAGGTCCCGGGTTCGAAACCTGGGAGCAACGGAACATTTTCTTCTCTGAAACGTTCTCCTCTCACCTCCTTTCCTGCTCTCTGACCATGTTCTGTCGTCTGCTTTCGTCTCCACTTTCTGCCCTCCCCCCCCCCCCCCCAAACCCTTTGCTCCGTCCTCTAACCTCCTGACTCTTTCTGTAGCCTTTCTACTGCTACTCCTTGGTTCCTTCTTACTGCTGTCTTTCAGCCATATCCTTGAGCTTCTGGTATATCAGATCTAACACCTAGCCTTCTCGGATAAGGGGGGGGGGGAATCTCGCAGTTCCGTGTGCAAGCTGTGCATGTTAAAGATCCCTAGGTGGTCCAAAATCGATAAGAGTATGCTTTGGCCGCCATCCGGGCAAAATTCTAAATTAAATTCTACTAAACTAAAAATGTTTAATGTGTCCCGCGCTCATATGACCTTATGCAGTTGCCAGCGCCGTAAAACACTAACAAATATAGAGACTCAAGCCCTCGAGCTTGCATTATTACAAGTATTACTAATCACTAGACCACCGACCCCAAACACGGTCAAACGAGTTTTCAATCAAAGAGGTTAATTTTCAGACTGGGTATATAAGTTCAATCACTGCACACAAAGAAGATCTTATGATAGAAAACAGTTTTTGGTGGAAATGAAATAAAATTAAGATTTACTATTCAAATCATAGTTGACTTTGTCAAGTCTAGTAAGTGACCATATCTTAACCCCTGTCAATCATGGGCACCTACCTGTCTATAGCGGTCCCCTTTCTTTGTGATCTTAAGCGACTGTTGCGGACAATTTCGAATGTCAAGAAATAAACATTTCGCAAAACCCTTAATATCACAGGACGAGACGGGTAGAGAAGTAAGAGCAGCTATTAAAATGAGTCATGCCTGCATTTCATGCAAAGACAGAGAATAAAATGGTTTGGCCACCTGTTGCGTACATCACTCAACCAGCCAGCCTTGAGAGCCTATAAACACCAAGCACTCAGGCTCTAAAGGAAGAGGAAAGCCACGCAAAAGGTGGACTGAGGGAGCCAAGGAAACCATGAGAAAAAAAAACCCAAGTAAAAGAGATGCAGAGTTGGCCTACCACAGAAAACTGCATCTTCCCTCTACGCTTAACGGTAACAGAGGGATGAACAAGTAAGAGTAAAGGTAAGAAATAATGATTGGTTTTTCACTTACCAAGTGGAGAATGAACTCATCCGTGAAGTTGAACACGACAGACTGCTGTTCTGGCGCTACCCCACTGCTCTCCACCATATTCTTTGACTGCCAGTAAGTGGGCGTTCCTTCCGTCGTCTCGTTGTCCAACATGTTGTTTGGCTGGACGTTGGCATTCGTACACGTGAACGTGCTGACAGACCCGCCTAGACTGAGGTACGAGCCGTCCCCCGCGGAATTCTCGTCGCATGTGGAGCTGACTGTCAAGGTCCGGGAAGGAAAAGAATCCAGCGGGTCTTTTAGAATGTCTTGGATTGGTGGGTAGCAACCTGATGTTGGAAGACACGTCTGAGTTTGGGCGTGCACGACACATGACGGTGATTGACTGTGCAGTACAAGGGTGGTGATTACTACGCTACAGAGATATTTACAGATAATGCGGGCAGTTCCTTGTGAGCGGAGATGCATTTTGATCATGACTGTGAATGGTTATGCGTTACGCTGGACGCGTGTAAAAATAAACAACTTTGAACAGTCGGTTAACTCATTAGTTCTCTTGTGAGTGATGTGTGAACGATGGCTTGTGTTCCTTAAATCTGAGACCGTAACAAGAGATCAGATAACGGTCTTAAAATAGATGTTGTTATCCCAAACGTACTCTTCAGCTGTCTTGGATACTTTTTATTCTTTGAGGGGTACGAGGAAAAATTAATTCCTCAGTCTGTTACGCTGTTCGCTTGCCTCGCCTAACCTTCTTTTCAGTTGTGGATTGTTCAACGGCTATTCCCCGTGAACCTACATCTCAAGGCAGCATTGTAAATTCAAGAACACATTATTCACGAAAACAAGTCAGAACACGCCGTAACACTGAAATTGAATATCAAATCTCTTTCTTGCAGATTTGTCCAAGAGTGAAAAATAAACACGAGGCTTGGATGGCTCGATTGGAATCTCTTTTGTGAGGAACAATGTAGAGAAGCAATGATATTTAAAAACAATGAAGTGTTTTGGTTTTCACACTAGCTGTCTGGTAAGTGAATGGTCCTCTAGTTTTCTTTGAGTTCAGAGAAGCTGTCGTTGTGGATAATTCGATATCGGGGTCGATCGCTTCAAATTCACACAAAACCTGGGGAAATACAGAGAAAGATTGATAAATTAATTTGAATGGGACATTAGACAGAAACGATGAAGAAGCCTTAAATAATTAGGAGGTCTATTTTCTGTAGCAGTTGGATAATAAGTAATGTTCATGGGAGCAAAGTGAGCGCCCTTTTATTTTTATTCAGAAGCATCCTTGACTACTATGCTGATTGTCCTGGTTGAAATCCCTACTGTAGGTTCTTGAACTTGGGTTGAGCCTGATTTGTTCTTGGTGTTTCACCCAGGCACTTTGGATGAGCAAACCTTCAATAACAGTGTAGATTGGGGGCGGGGTTTCTGTTATTTAATAGTGGTGGGTGAGCAAGTTGTAGAGTAGAATAAATACATGGCTTTTTCTGCCTTTTACGCTTTTGTCAGTGTGTTAGAAATAGATATCAACCAATAAGAAAGCTTGCCTTTTCGGTGTAGTAAGTCCCGGGAAGCTGAGAATGTTTCGGAGTGTTCTATAGTGTAAAGCGCATAGAGCCTGCTGTTGAGCGGGGATATGCGCTATACAAATGCTATTTATTATTATTATTATTATTATTATTATTATTATTATTATTATTATTATTATTATTATTATTATTATTATTATTATTATTATTATTATAAAAACATTTAACTGTTTCCATACAACTGAAAGGGTGGCATCAGTGTCTATTAGGTAATTGTTAGGTTCTTTGCCGGGATCACAAAAGACATTAGTTTGAATATCTAGTTGGAATTGAACTGAACTCATTTGAATTCCCAGTGAGTTCGGTTTAGGTGGGAACCCTGAATCACCTTAAGCGATTACATAGATGACAAAATTCAATAAGCCACAAACAGAATTTGCATGTCAAATCTTTAAGCCAAGGATAATAACTAGTACACTAACATTGTCGTAATTTAGAAGCGGCCCCATGCGATATTTCGGCATACATTTGGTAATATAATTGCTAAGTACATTGATAATATACTAACAATGTAATAACTAGCATTTATATAGCGCATTACCCCGCCCTATAGCAGGCTCTATGCGTTTTACACTATTATTATTACTCCAGCAGACCATAGAACACTTAGAAACATTCTCAGCTTCCCGGGGAAGAACAGCGCAAGCAGCTGATTAAGCGCTCAAACACTAACAAACTGACAAGATCTTTCACTGTCTATAGTTGGGTACCCATTCTCACCTGGGTGAAGTGAGGCAAATTCGTGTAAAGTGCCTTTCTCAAGGATACAATGTCGGGTCCCTGACGGGTTTCGAACCCTTGACCTTACTGTTGCTAGTACGAGAGTCTAACCATTAGACCACCGACGCCACAATAGTATAACATAATATCATAAGTTTAAGCTAAACAGTTTGGTCACTCCGTGAGATGGGAATGACAGGTGTGTCCCATAACTCGAAACATCCCCAAGGAGACGTTCAATAGACGACAAAATAGAAACAAGATTTATAGTCCAATTTATCATCCTCATCACTATCCTCATCAGTTAGCATGATCAGAGGCGGAAGCAGCAGCAGTATAAACGCAATAGCTGCAGAAACAACGGCGGCAGAGATGGCTGCAGCAGCAACAGCAACAGCAACAGCAGAATGCATTAGTAGCAGAATACTAAAAAGATCTCAACGTCGTCTGCATTATCGCTACTAAAATCACAAACACGTCATCGTTTATTCATTACAGGAACACACTCCTCTATCTCGTCTATCTTTTGATTCGAATCATATAAGGGAAGGAACACTTTCAGTAATGTCTGGTATCATTAACATAATGCATAGTGCACATTTGTGATAATTTAACTCAATATCGACACTTGGCATCCCTTCGTGGCAGCTCCCGCACACATTACGGGAGAGAGAGGGGGAGAAAGAGAGAGAGAGAGTGTGGGAGAGAGAGGGAGAGATAGATAGATTGATATATATGTATGTATATATATATAATATAGAGAGAAAGAGAGATAGAGAGAAAGAGAGACAGAGAGAGAGAGAGAGAGAGAGAGAGAGAGAGAGAGAGAGAGAGAGAGAATTACGTCGAACGAAATGAGCCAAGATACAGGCATTACAATGCACTGTGTGGAGTTTTATAACTGCTTTACAATACATTGCCTCAAATTTACAACGTTTTAACTGCTCACTATCTATTTTTGATTAATTTGACGTCAAAGATTTTGAGTTTCACAACATGTCAAGCTTTTTCGAATGCAATTCTCTTAATATCTTGATAACAACTCCGAATAAGAATAATCTATCGATTTTGATATAATATATAGAACATTTATTGGTTTCTGACCTCATGGTCTTAGTAACTCAAAATGGCTACAGATGCCAGTTAAAATTTCGTAATTCTGAGGTAACGAGTAGCTTAGAGCGGAATTGTAAAGGAAAACGAATGAAAGGCTCAGAAATATGTGAGGCAGCGTGGTGGAATCAGGCTCTCGTCAAAATAATCAAAGTGAAGAAACTTGCATTTTCCACAGGTTTCTGAATATTTTTCAAATTTTTGTTTTTTGGCTCAACACCTTTCATGCCAATTAAAGAACTCATTTCTGTATGGATTTTTTTTAAACGTTGACTAAAGGCACAAAAAATATAAATGTTCAGTTACCACGGACTCTTAAGTTAAGGAAATAACTAATCTTTGGCGGCCATTTTCTCACTAACCTTACCTCTGAAAACAGGTGACCCCCACCCCCTTGATTTGCAAATATCTCGACTTGTATTCAAGATAAATGGATATTTTTTCACCCAAATAAAGACAAATAACAAGCTTTAAGACGGTACTAATAACTCTACATGCCCAAAAATTGACGAGAGCCTGATTCCACCACTCTGCCTCACATATGTAATAACGAAAATGGATACTGTATCCCTTTCAGTCACGTGTGGCTCTGACAGATACTTTCGAATCGGTCCAGCTCCTAATTAATCATATTCTGTTAATGGAACATCAAAGCATTAACAAACATTTTAAACGGGACACATCAATAATGTTGGCCTATGACAGCTACAACCCATCAGCCAAATAAACTCTATATAATATATTCCAATTACCCCGAAAAATTGAGTAATTAAAAGAGCACAGCACCTAGTGAACTATGATTGTAATGGTTTTATAGGTGTTCGAATGTTATAATAATATATTCTGTGAGAAAAAAAAAACTTGGACATAAAGCAATATTTTAGCATGTTTTGAAATAGCTTCACTTTACTCCGCATGAAAGATACATTTTAGCGGGACCCTGGTACCTCTTTCACCCACCTTTTATTAGAAAAAAAGTACTACGACTAAGTACACAAAAAGACTGGATCGTGAGAGAGCATAATAACGATTACAGTAAGATCATTAGAACAACAGAATAAGCAACAACAGCGAAGAGTTGGTAAGAAGCAAACAAACAAAGACAAACCGCGACAACTACAAATGTGAGGTGTGCTGACAAAACGTGGTTTCTTTCTGGTTTTAGCGATATGAAAATTGATACATCAACTTTTTAGCTGGAGTTTGCACAATTTGTAAGTATGGAATAATAAAAGGCACAGAAGACTTGAACAAAATGGAATCAACTAAAAATCTTTAAATCACACCCCAGTGTCGATTTTCGGCAGATATCTCCATTCTTGGATCGCGAGAAGTAACTCATTTTGTCAGCACACCTCACACATAACAAATAGCTGACAGAAAACAACTAACAACGATAAGAACAAGCATCAAGAACAAGTAGACAAAAAACAAGCAACTACAATAACGAACAACAAAACAAATCACTTCTACAACAAACAACAAAACAAAATTACTATTATAACTAATGTATTGACAAACAACAAAACAAAACTGCAACAACAAAACAAAATTACTGTTATAACAACCTACAACAAAACAAAATTACTGTTATAACAACCAACAACAAAACAAAATTACTGTTATAACCACAAACAACAAAACAAAATTGAGGCTACCGGACTCATATCGTTATGTTGCAGGTTTGCGAGTTCGAGCCTCAGCTCGGTGTGATGTTGTGTCCTTGGGAAAGGCATTTTACCAAAAATTCCCATTTAGTGGTTCGGGCCTTTCGGAGATGGACGTTAAACTCGAAAGTTCTGCCTTGTAAATAACCCACTAGTGTTGATAAAGGCGTAGAAACCCATGCCATTTCACCATTTTCAGTTGAGAAATGTTTTGTCCGACGTGATTTTGAAAAACGGCGCTCTTTATTTATAGATTCACACTGAGCGTCAGTCCAAAGTGGATAAAGTAATAGAAAGTAATAGAAGCAGAAATGAGAGAAAAGGGGGTTGTTTCTTTGTTTGTTTGTTTGTTTGTTTGTTTGAGTAAAAGGAAGCACATAGGCACAATAACTTACTGCCATTTAGTGCTGGGAAAAAGAAAGACAAACCGACAGAAACAACAGAGGGGAAAGTAGCAAGTAGTGGCGCCCTCTAACCAATCGCAGGGAAGAGGAGAAAATAGAGATAATTCATTATACTATTGTTGAAACAGTATCGAAAAGTAATGTACAGAAGAAAATAAAAGAAACTGTAAATTATAAAGAAACGGAAATTAACTCAGTATGATAATTGGCAGTGCAGAAAAGAGTCAAATAAGAGACATGGAAATGGTGGGGAAGAGCAAAAAGAGCTACATAAATAAATAATCTTCAATCGAAAAGGGATAATAGAGACGAAAATCGAGCGGTTCCTTTTTTAAAAATGCACAGAAGAAATTATAGAGATCAGGTTCAAAATATAATTTACTTTTTTTTTTTAATAAGTCATTGTTGGTAGTCCTTCGTTGCCGAAGATGACGATGAATCCTGCAGCTCATCTGTGGACGCGCATGTGGCTGTGCAAATAAGTCATTAAATAAACTATATCCGATACAAATGTATCAAATTACCTATCTGATCAATATAATATTAATAACTGTGTTGATGCATAACTTAAAACGTCGATTACCCAGCTCAGCTGGAAACAATAAATTAGTATTGCCTTTTTGT